AAAGCTGTAATGCCACTATAGTCCTTGTGTAACTTTCAGATCTCTCTTAGGGCCCGTCTACATTGCCATATAATCCAGATTATCAAGGCTGATAGTCCACATAATCTTCTTTGAACTAGATTATATGAGTCTACACTGCCATATAATCGAGTACAAAGCAGATAATCTGGATTTTATAGGGCAATGTAGAAGGGGGCCTTAGACTGCAGAAACATTGATTTCACATTGGGGAGCAGTTGGTATTTCTAACAGATCATGTTCCAGTTCAATTTTAAATCATTTTTCTTAACGATTACGACCCAGTTCAATTTTAAATTATGAGTATACACTGTGAACAACATGCATGGAATGCACAGATAGACTAACAAAATTCTACTCGAATATAGACCCTTAAAGGGAACTAGTTTGGGCATTTGACTGGTTTGGGCATTAGACGGTAACTGTGGAGAACAGGGTTCAAATACCCACTCAGACATAAAAACCCATTGAGTGACCTTTGCCAAGTTGTGCACTTTCAGCCTCAGAAAACCCTGCAATGAGGTTGCCTTAGGATTGCCATAAGTTGGAACAACTTGAAGGCACACAGGAATAATAGTCCCTTGAAACACTTATCAAAAAGCCACTCCTGAATGCTATAGTACCCACTGATTAGTACAAAAGAGGGGTGGAAAACTGGATGGGAAAGCCAGCAGAATTTGTTACAATAACATCCACAAATTGAAATGCCTTTTAGTTTATGCAACACATCCCTGGATTGAAACCAACATTTCACTTGCTGAATTCACAGGAAGGAAGGATAATAGAGCATTGGGAGAACAAATATTTTGCATGCACAAGGCCCACAATTCAATTCCCAGCATTTCTAGTTAAAAGAAAGTTTCTCTTGCTCAGATCCTGCACTACCTCTTGCAAAGTCAGTTGACAATACAGGTCTAAAATAGACAAGTGATCTGACCACAAGCTTGGAAAAATAATGTTTTGAAGTACAACTCCCAAACACCCCAGCCACCCACACAGGTCTGATTTCATAAAAAGCAGTTTCTTGCATTCCTAAGAAGCCCAAGCTATTTCTAGCTGTATACAGACTAGTGCCCAACTACACTAGGGAGGGGAGGGGTGTGTTATGGTCACTGTTATATTAATGGCTACGTTTGATAGAGATCAATTTATAGCAGACACAAGTACTGTGTAACCCTCACACCTAATCCACTAGTTGACAGCTTATACATAAGTTCTACTCTTGGCTCTGTATGAATACAGGCAGGAACAACTGGGTTTTGCTACAGCCAGTAAAATCTTGCTTATCTAATCTATAGCTGTCTCACCTAATGAGGAAATATAGTCTCAAAACAATACTAAGATAAAAATACTATTTGAGGCTTATTATTGCAGCCCAATAGCTTATTTGTAAAAATGAGCCCTTCTCTCTAGGAAATTTAAAGAGTCACCAGTGTGAGCAACTGTGCATGAATGTAAGATGCCAGCAGGCAAAACAGACATTTTATTCTGCCCCATAACATGTCAATGACCTCTCAGTGACTTCAGTCGAAGAAATAATTGGCTATCAGTTGAGATGGCTTTACGGCTAATGCCAAACAAACCTATGAAACAAGAAGATTCAAGACATTCACATTACTTCCCTAGGAGAGAATGTTGTCAAAGAACAGCATGATGAGACAAGAGTTATTTTAATTACGATTTTAAACCTTATCGGCCACCACAATCAAAATTAGTGTAGCAGCAAATACTGGGTTTATTATGCACTAAAAATGATGTGATCAGACACAAAGAAGGAAGAATTACTACTCAGCAATTTCTCTTCCATCGTCTTACCGGCAATTTGCTTTAGCTTTCTGATCTATAACAGTCTTTCTTTACTTCACTCTTAGTGAAAAATCGAGAATTAGAGGGTTTTTAAAATAAAACAAAACATTGGGTCATATTACTTCTCTTAGGTCCCTGAATGTTCTTGACTTCCAAATTAAATTTTTATTTTAGTGTGTTTATTTGATGGAAACAAATAACCCTTTCCTCTTTTAAAATGGAGAGGGAGATATAAATATAAAACTTCTCCTCCGAATTGAAGCATGCAAGTATTCTTATTGGATCAGTCTGATGGTTTGCACTTCATGAACAACTGGCAGATCGATTTGAGATCCGCCTTATGATACATGTTGCACTATGATAACGCTTTGTATTGGACATCATCCAATACAGAACACAAGCATTACATTTTAGGGGCATTCCATTTTGGTACAAGTATTCCCTCCCTTTCGCACCCCCTTTTTCGTGGTGGGGGGAGAGTAATCTGGATGTAAAGTACAGATGTCAGTACTGACAAGAAGCCTTTAATTTGTTGTAACGAATACTTTGAAGTACAGGATCTTTTCATTGGGGCAGCTCTTTTCCAGGTATCTTAGGTATGCAGAGTAATAAATAACTCAGGTTTAGAAGGGGGAGGACACAAGGGTAGATATAAGAGGCAATCCTAATTCTTGACATTTTTATCAGCATATTTTGAAAGTTACCTTTCTGGTATGATTAGGTTACAAATGCAATCTTAATTCTGGGGCTTTTTATTTTTTTTAGGGACAAACAAGTAGACAAAAAAGGAACCACTTTTTCTCATGAGGAAGTTTAGAAGATAACATAGGCAACTTATACAGTACACATATTTTAACAATGTAACAAAAAAGAGATTTAAAATTCACATGTAATCACCCACATCCCCTACTTGTATCTATCCTTTTCCCACTATTTTTCCTCTCATACATTTTCTTTATCATTCATTCTGTTTGTTGGATCATAATGATGGTTTTGGTTTAATTTCTGATGTTTTCTTTTGCTCTTTGCCTTGGCTATCAGTTTTCCCCATTTCCCCCTGGGGTGTTCATTGGTAGATTTATTTTTCCTATCCATGATGTAATCTTGAAGCATATAGTCTGCTAAATATTCATACTATATTTATGTTCATACTATTTTTATGTTCTTTCCACCCCAGGGCGACCATAACTTGGCCTGCAGCTAACATATATTTAGTCATCTCACCCCAATCTTTATTGCTGTTTCTCATTCAACCCTAATTTTTGCTCTAATATTCCTCCATTTCCCCCTTTATTTTTCCATAGAATTCTTGTACCTTGGCACAGTTCCACCACATATGGATAAATGTTCTGGTTTCCCCACATTTGTGACATCAGCTTTTAGATGTTCTTTTTGTAATATGGGCTATTTGATTGGAGGGGAAGGGGGGTCCTATACCATTTTGTGAGTATTTTCCATTGCATTTCTTTGATCTTTAAATGTTTAATTTTTTTGATGAACTGTTATCCACAGTTCTCTGTCTTTCTGAGTACAGTTTATTTCCTCTTTCCATACTTCTAAGAGGGTGGGTTTCAAATTATATTGGTTATCTATTAGTTTGTTATATAGTAATCCCTTTTATTGACTTTTTCGATAGTTACTGATCTTTTTGCATTGTCAAACTCTCATTCTAATATTTTCACTATTTGGCATGTTTCAAAATAATTTTGTAGGTTGGGAGCTCCCCATCCTCCATTTTCTTGTGGGGAGTAAAATGAAAAATTGGATATTCTGCTTTTATTAGCTTCCTACCACCCAGGTTTTTATCGCGGTGTCCCTTTTATATATATATATTGAATTGAATGGTAACACCTATAAGAGGGATAAAATTTTTGGAAGAATCACCATCTTAACTATCTTAACTATTTTGATCCGTCTCTCGGATTCAAACTGCCAACCTTCAGATCTTCAGGTCAGCAGTTCAGCCAGCATAAGGGTTTAACCCATTGCACCACCACAGCTCCACTTTGGAGCAGATGCTTAAACACCAAAACGATCAGGATGTTTGGATTAACACCAAAAGTCTGGATTTTTAAGATTAGAACTGAATGATTTCTACAGTGATTACATATTCACACATACAATTAAAATTATCTTCAGCAGTCCAATAGCATATAAAATGACCTTTTCAAAAATTATTTTTATAGGCATGTGCTCATAGTGAAAGCACATATAGGCTGACAGCTGGACCATGTCAAATAGACTTGAGGGTGGCAAGAGCAATCATAGCGTATAGCCTAATGTCCTCCAGTGCGTGCAATCCCACGCTGCAGTTCCAAGAAAACCACAATTTTACCCTCATGTTCCGAGGAGCAACTGGTTGGCCAGCTTCAGACTGAGTTAAGACAACCAGCTGAGAGCCCAGAAAGTTCCCATGCTAGTATATACTACTTCTGATTTCCTGTGTATCTTTTAAAGCTTTTTGGCTATGTCAACAGTAAGTCTTCCAAACAAGAAGCTGCCAGAACAAACAAACAAACAAAAAAGAACACTAAGCATCTGGCCCTTTACAAACCCTGATGTAATTACAATACTGGGGCAACTCTGAAATAAAAAGGCACAAAAAAGCAGATACCTATAATTACTAAAAAAGCAGAGATCTATAATTACAATAATTTAATTATGAAATAAAATAAGCAAGAGATTTCTCAAGTCGAACCAGTGACCAAATGTACTGGACAATTCTCTGATATATCAGACATCTAATTAGAGGACTCAAGTTGCATGCTACATGCAAAAAAATGAAAATGGTACAAGAGTTTCTTTTTTAAAAAACAGTCTATGTGCACAGGAACACTAAAATTTATGAGACAGTCACAACATACCCAAACTACTACAGATTGGTTTCACAGTAATAGGGAGCAGCATGAACATGCATTCAATCTCCCCATGGAGATGCAAGAGAACTCTAAGGTGACCAGGATAAGGGGAGAAAGGGAACAAAGAAAGGGAACTTTTACTTTGCAGAGCTTCTCTACTCTCAACCATACCTTTCACAAACAGGTTTTTCCTGTTCAAAGGGCCACCAGGCTACCATTTACATACAGTATTTTGCTTTTCTGAATAAACATTTCATTTGTTTTTAAAATGAGGCATCCATTAGAAAACATGTCAGAGAATTTGAAATTGCAACTTACCAGATCTAGATTTAATGATATTGCTAAACTCATTGTGGCCACCTTCGTGTCCTTCATCGATATCCATAACTTTAGCCATCTTTTTCCCTGACCAGATTCCAAGTTCCAATATAGAATTATTTAAATTCTTTGCATGTAGTTCTCACACTTCTATCTCCTTTGAAATCAAAACCTGAAATGTAAACAAACCAAAGCCATTGTAAGTTTATTTATGTAGGAATGTTTTGAAAATAAAATTTCTCTCAAGGCAGCTTATATTTTACATCACAAAAACAATTAAAGCAATGAGATAAAAGCTTCTCACTCAACACAGAAGCATTAAAATTCTGATCAGATTAGTTAAAACCACATTACAGTTTAAAAGAAGGAGCCATGATAACTCAAACCTATGATTTCAAAAAAGGGAAGAGTGATTTCAAAGACTTAAATTGATTTACTAACAAACGTGGAGAAAACCAAGTGTACCTAAAGTTTCAAAGGTACAGAATCCATCTCTTTTTACCACAAATCGAATCAGCCTTTGAGTCTACAAGTAAGGCCTCTATGCCAGTGGTTCTCAACCTGTGGGTCCCCAGGTGTTTTGGCCTACAACTCCAAGAAATCCCAGCCAGTTTACCAGCTATTAGGATTTCTGGGAGTTGAGGGCTAAAACATCTGGGGACCCACAGGTTGAGAACCACTGCTCTATGCCAATCTTAAGAAGACAACAAGAACAAGCCACCAGATCTCATCAGATCTTGGAAGCTAAGCAGACTCATTTATGTCCAATACTTTGAATAGTAGACCCTCAACAGGTATCAGGCTGTATTTCAGAGGAAGGAACTGGCAAAACCACCTCTGAGTGTTTCTTGTCTAAGAAAAGCTACAATAAACATGTGGTTGTCATACGTCAACAAGTGACTTCAAGGCACATACACACAAATCATGCAAGTACAGGTGGACTCTGAAATCACCTGGTCCCTAACAATTTTGGCATTTTCAGGCAACTGATGATGCCAAATTATCACTAAAGATATCCTCACATACCCAGGGTACAAAAGCAGACTCCATCATCTCTTGATCAAGCTAAGGTTGGCATTCCAGCCAAAGGAAATAAAAAGTCCTTCTAGCCATAGTTGTGCTTCAACTAAGAATGCCCAATCCAGGATGAGCCCCAAGTTGGAATACTAGACTTTCACAAGAGATACAACCTCATCATCAACTGCAAACTGTTCCACTGACAGCATTTCCAGCTCGATCTTGTCTGGATTAGGTTTAAACTTGCTCACCTTCATCACCCAATCTGTCTTCAGAGTGTTCAAATGTTTTACAATGCGATTTGTATCTGAGAAGCAGAGTTAGTGCTGTATGGCATGTGTATGTATTTTAATTCCTTAGCAGCTTTGTGATTTTTTTTAAAAAGCATGAAGGACAAGAGCTAATCCCAAGGCACTTCAAGAGACAGATCCATGAAGTAGAACAGAGAAGCCCACCAACCACAACTGGATTTATCCCAGCAAAAAGGTCTGAAGTCATACGATGTCATGCCTCCCATGTCCTCCCACACAGCAGGAAACAAGGAAGTCTACCATGAAGGTACTGAATATCCCTTAAAGATCCCCCTCCTCCCAGAAAACCAAAAGGATTGCAGTATCCCTGTAGAGTTCTCAGCATGAGTAATCTGCCAGCATGGCCAAAGTTTTTTCTATAAAATAACCAAGAGAGAAACTAAGGTGAAATTGATTTTTTTTAAAAAAAAATATCAAGATAAATACTTCTTTTCAAGTAGCGCAGTGGTTTTCAACCTGGGGTCCCCAGATGTTTTCGGCCTACAATTCCCAGAAATCCCAGCCAGTTTACCGTCTGTTAGGATTTCTGGAAGTTGAAGGCCAAAAACATCTGGGACCCCAGGTTGAGAACCACTGAAGTAGAGTGATGTACAGAGCAAAATAATAACTTCATCTGCACTTGTATTTCATATCTTCCTGTTTCTTCCATGTTTTACTTTTCTGATTGCTTACAAATACCTCAGGGTGAATCTGCTTGCAATCTGAGTTTCCTGCAGGAGAGTAAAGAAACTCTGCAGCTCTAGCTTTTTAGTACTACCTACTTAATGATATGGTAGCATCCAGTGCATTTGCATGCTTTTTAAAACGTTAGTTATATATGATAATCAAATACACTATTTAATAAATCACTGTTTAATAAATCAAGATTAGAATCTTATATGGAAAGATACCATTAATTATGTATATAACTATTATTAAATATTATTTTGGGATTCATTGTGTATCTGTCTGCTCAAAAGTCCTACTGGGTCCAATAAGAGTTCTTTCCAGGTATGTGTGTGTCTTTAACTTAAGGGCATTCTTCTCATCACTTCAAAGAAATTTTAGCCCAGAGACTAGAAAACAGCCTGGGAGCGGCTGAACTGACTTCCTTATTTACATGAAAGTTACAAAGAAAGCAGTTTTCCAGCTATACCAAAGCCTGCCTGGATAGATTTCAATAACACTCCCCTAACTATGCAGAGGAACAGTAAGTTCAACATACCCAAATGAAATTCACTTAAAGGAATGTTTTTTTCTGTCAACGGCAGCCCTACCTCTTTTCACTTTCTTACCAGATTGCATATGTTGCTACAAAATGGAGATAAATGCAATGGGATACTAGAGGCTCAATGTGTTATTACTGTCTCTTTACCAACATCCCCCAAAGGCTTGGAATTATTTTCAATATATTCCTCTTTTATTTTGTTATAACCACGTTGTAAGGTTTGGCAGGACTGGGGGAGGATGCAGCACTTTCCTAAAGGCCCAGTAGCATACACTAAGGAGAAGATGAGAAATGTGGATGCAACCAAAGTTTACTGGGATGCAACCCCCAGTAGATCTAATCCTTCATCACACTTGAGTATGAATCCACTTTAAATTCGGTTTCTGCCTCCTGCAGAATTCTGGGATTTGTAGTTTAGTGAGGCTGTCAAAGGCTCCTCCCTAAACTACAAACCCCAGAATTCTGCAGGAGGAAGAAACCGGATTTAAAATGGATTCATTCTCTAGTGTGATGAAGTAGCTAGGCAGTAAAACCAATATTGAGGGTTTCTGGGAGTTGTAGCGCAATGATCTGAAAGCTGCAAGTTGCCCACTGTGTGTTGAATTGGCTGAAGAAGGGAGAAATTGTTCTGTCTAGTCAGGACTGTCTCCACAGAAGAGGTGTGACAACACAACTTTATCCTTTCTTCCTCATTCCCAGTCTCCACTAAGAAAATGGTCTACACATTTCAATCCCCATGCATTTGGAGGATCACACATCCTAAAGGGGGTAAAGTGCCTTAAGTCCAAAATATATTAAAACACACTGGTAGCTGTGCAACTGTGCAAGAAAAGAGTTAAAACAATAAAGCTTCCTCCCTAAAGCTAGGAAATCAGCACTGTCTTTCACTCAACAAGTGACTGTTTCAGTTGCCAGGCACAAATGTCAAAAGCATGTTTCACACGTAGAATAAGTCTGGATTTCACCCAGTCCAGGCGACCCAACCCAAACTTTCAGTCTCTCCCAGCTGTCAACAAGGAGCACATTCAACACACTCAAGCAACCAAACTACAAATAATCTGTTCCTATTCCAGCAGCTTTGTCGTTACTATAACTCTCCCCTGAAAAAGAAAAAAAAACAAGAGTTCCTCCCTCCAAATCTGTTAGCAAGGCAAGTTGACAGTCCATTTCAGATACTGTGCAGATGACAGCCTTGCCATAAAGCAGTCACTCTGATCCTTACAAAAACATCCTGAGCTTTCCTGGAGTAAGCCAACCAACACCCGCTTGGGTTTTATCCCACTTGCATTCAGAGCAAGCAAGGACTTTTAATTAGAAACACACCAAACACAAGTCATTTAAACAGAGCAATGATATCATGACTTTTCTGACTTAAAATAACCAGTGATCATCCCACAAGCTGCCACATACATATCAAGATAGACTGAGAAGGGAGAGAGCCATTAATTTCCACCTCAAGGGAAAGCAACAGGTGGTTTTGACACTCACTTTATGCCACAACAACTCAGCTTGCTTGGGATAAACCAAGTGCATCTATGCTGTAGAATTAATGCAGTTTGATACCACTTTTGCTGCCAAAGCTCAATACTGTAGAATCCTGTAAGCTGCAATTTTACAAGATTTTAACCTTCTCTGCCAAAGAATGCTAGTGTCTCACCAGCTACAACTCCCATCATTCCATAACATTGAACCATGGGCAGTAAAAGTGGTGTCAAACTGCACTAATCTCTCTGTGTAGTTTGACAGAATAACTAAAGAACTTTCCATAACTCCATTCAAAGCTTCCTTCACTCTCTCTGTCCCTTTCTTGAAAAAGGCATGCAAGCATGTTGGATAAACTAATGAGAAGTATTTTCACACGCCTTCCCCACCCAAGCCAAAATGCATAGTAACCTAGGACAGCCAAGTTATTCTGGCACCAGCGGCAGAAAGTCTCAAAACGCCTCCTCCTTTCCTGGTAATAAAAATACGAACATAATGAATTAAATAACTAACAATTTTCTGCCTTTTCACGGCACACCCCAAATCCATTGCCTGAGGTGTCTGCCTCACTCTACCTAATGGTAAGGCTAGCTATGAAAATTTTGTAATGCCTTTGCTCCATGGAGAACTCCTACCAATTAGCTAAAGAAGGAATTATTTTACAAAAGCTTAATGGCCTTTTAGGACCATCACAACCACCTATCTCCTATGTACCTATGCACACAAGCACATTGAAAGCTGACGAGGGCAGAGGAACGAAAAGCTGCTTGCATGGAAGTATCCTTTAATCCACCCTATAAGTAGATACATACTCGCACAGAACTAGGAGGCAAAAGGACTGGAAGCATTTCCCCAGCCCACTCTGACCAAATCACCTGATGAAGGGGCCTCACTAATCCATGGAAGCTTAGGCCACCCCAAATTTGTTAAGTCTCTCAAAGGCAAGAGAATTGTGTGCTAACATTTTCTAAAGAAACATGGCATTTATTGAACTGGGGGAAGGACAAGTAGTCCAAAAATTCCTTGTCTGATAAAACAGAATAGGCCACCCTGATTTTTTTTCCCGTGTGTCAGACGCAACTTGAGAAACCACAAGTCACTTCTGGTGTGAGAGAATTGGCAGTCTGCAAGGACACTGCCCAGGGGGTGCCCAAATATTTTACCATCCTCATGTCCCCACATGAGGAACTGCAGCTGACAGACAGGAGCTCACCCCATTCCCTGGATTCAAACCACTGACCTTTCAACCTTTTAGTCAGCAGCCCTACCGCACAAGAAGTTTCTGGGAGTTGAAGGCCAAAACATCTGGGGACCCACAGGTTGAGAACCACTGGTTTAACCCACTGAGCTACTGGGGCTCCACCTTCAATGAAAGCCTGAATTCTTTGAAAACTGTATGACGAGTGGATCTACATTGTAAAAGGAATGCAGCCTGACACCACATTATCTGCCCAGGCTCAGTGCTATGGAATCCTGGGAGATTTAGTTTCACAAGGTCTTTTGCCTTCCCTGCCAAAGAGTGCTGATGCTTCACCAAACTATAACTCCCAAGATTCCATAGCACTGAGCCATGGCAATTAAGGTCTTGTCAAGCTGCATTCATTCTATGGTGCAGATAATTGCTATAGTTTGAGTGTTGGATTAGGACGCTAAGGAGCAGGGCTTCCAATCCTCACTCAGCCATGAAAACTCACAATGTGGCTCTGAACCAGTCACACTCTCCCATCCTCCGAGGAAGGCCAAGAAAAATAAGTAAGGCCAAACCTAACAGATTCCATAATTCCATAGCATTGAGTCACGGCAATTCAAGTTTGACCAAACTGCATTAATTCTACAGCAAGGATGGGCAAAGTTCAGCCCTCCAGGTGTGAGGAACTGTGAAGTTGCAGTCCAAAACACCTGGAGGGCTGAAGTTTGTCCATGTCTGTTCTACAGCATAGATCAGGCATAGGCCAACTTGGGCCCTCCAGGTGTTTTGGACTTCAAGTGTTGCCATTCCTAACATCCTCCGGCTCTTTCCTTAAGCGGCTGAGGGGGGAAAGGAAAGAGCCTGAGGCTGTTAGGAATGGTGGGGGTTGAACACCTGGAGGGCCCAAGCTGGCCTATCCCTGGCATAGATGCACTCTGTGGTTTCAATGCTGGACTAGAATTTTGGGGACCAGGGTTTGAATATCTCTGAAGGAAAAACAGTAACCGTTGCTTGTCTCAAGGGTCACCCTTAGTGGGGAAGGACTTGAAGGCAAACAGGAGCAATGGAAGGCCATCTGTGTGTGGGGTTTTGGGGGGATACAAGCCAATTGGGGGCCTTGAAGGCACAAGTCAAGACCTCTTCCAAACAAAATGGGGTGAGCTTCCACTCAAACGTTATCATCTTTGCGGCCACTATTGCGTCTGCAAAAAACCGTCCGGCGGAGTTGTTTCGGATTGTCAGAGGTCTTTTAACTCCCGCCACCTCAGGCGGGAGCCCTGACAATTCGGTCACGCGCTGTGAAGCATTTGCTCGGTTCTTTGCAGACAAAGTCGCTTTGATCCGTTCTGAGCTGGACACCATGTTAAATGCAGTCTCTGTGGATGTGACAAGAGCACCTGCTTGTCCTGTTTTGATGGATTCTTTTCAGTTTGTGAAACCCGAGGATGTGGACAAGATACTTGGAGGACTGAGGCCCACCACGTCCATCCTAGACCCCTGCCCATCCTGGCTTCTGAAGGAGGCCAGAGGGGGATTGGCTGAGTGGGTAACGGTGGTGGTTAATGCCTCCCTTCGGGAAGGCAAGATTCCAGCGAGCTTAAAACAAGCTATTATAAAACCGCTGTTGAAGAAACCATCATTGGACCCCACTAAATTTGACAACTTTCGGCCTGTTTCCAATCTCCCCTTTTTGGGCAAAGTCATGGACAGCGTGGTGGCCTCACAACTCCAGGTATTCTTGAGAGACACGGATATCTGGATCCGGCACAGTCTGGTTTCAGACCGGGACATGGTACCGAGACGGTCTTGGTCGCCTTAGTGGATGATCTGCGCCGGGAGCTAGACAGGGGGAGTGTGTCCCTGTTGGTGCTCCTGGACCTCTCAGCGGCCTTCGATACCGTCGACCACGGTATCCTTCTGGGGCGCCTTGCGGAAATGGGTCTTGGGGGCATTGCTCTGCAGTGGCTCCAGTCATTTCTGGAGGGTCGTACCCAGAAGGTGTTACTGGGGGACTCCTGTTCAACACCACAGCCTTTGACCTGTGGGGTTCCACAGGGTTCTATACTGTCCCCCATGCTGTTTAATATCTACATGAAGCCGCTGGGTGAGATCATCCGGAGTTTCGGGGTGCGGTGTCATCTGTACGCAGATGATGTCCAACTCTGTCACTCCTTCCCACCTGCTACTAAGGAGGCTGTCCAGGTCCTGAACCGGTGCCTGGCCGCTGTAATGGTCTGGATGAGGGCGAACAAACTGAAATTAAATCCAGACAAGACAGAGGTACTCCTGGTCAGTCGCAAGGCCGAACAGGGTATAGGGTTACAGCCTGTGCTGGACGGGGTCGCACTCCCCTTGAAGGCGCAGGTTCGCAGCTTGGGTGTGACCCTGGATTCATCTTTGAGCCTGGATCCCCAGGTTTCAGGGGTGACCAGGGGAGCATTTGCACAGCTTAGGCTGGTGCGCCAGCTGCGCCCGTACCTTGGGAAGTCTGACTTGGCCACGGTGGTACATGCGCTGGTCACATCCCGCCTTGACTACTGCAACGCTCTCTACATGGGGCTGCCCTTGAAGACGGCCCGGAAGCTTCAGCTAGTTCAGCGCGCGGCAGCCATGTTACTAACGGGAGCGGGACGCAGGGAGCATACAACGCCCTTGTTGTCCCAGCTCCACTGGCTGCCGATTTGCTACCGGGCCCAATTTAAGGTGCTGGTGTTATCCTACAAAGCCCTAAACGGTTCCGGCCCAAAATACCTCTCGGACCGCATCTTGGCCTATGAGCCCACGAGGACCTTGAGATCGTCTGGGGAGGCCCTTCTCTCGATTCCGCCTGCCTCACAGGCACGCATCTGGCGGGGACGAGAGAGAGGGCCTTCTCAGTGGTGGCCCCCCGGCTGTGGAACGCCCTCCCTGCTGACATCAGACAGGCGCCCTCTCTCATGGCTTTCCGTAAGAGCCTAAAGACCTGGCTCTTCGAGAAGGCATTTAACAAGTGCCAGACTAATTGACAATGACAATCGGAACGGAATACGGATTATGAGACTGGTAGATCCCTATGTTGTGACGGTGCGGATTAGTTAGTGTAATTTAGATTAAGTGTGTTATATTGTTTGTTGATGTACTCTGTGCTCTTTGTAAATTGTTTTTATATGTTGTACACCGCCGCGAGTCGCCCTAGGGCTGAGAGCGGCGGTCAACAAATGCATTAAATAAATAAATAATAAATAAATAATAAATTATCTGTTGACTTTCCTAATCCTTGGTGAAAGTGAATGCTGTTGGATGGACAGCCAGCAGGGCTGCTGATCGAAATGTCGGCAGTTCAAATCTGGGGAGCGGGTTGAGCTCCTGTCTGTCAGCTCCAGCTCCTCATGCAGACCAAGAGAGATGGCTCCCACAGGATTGTAAAACATCCAATGTCCCCTGGGCAACTTCCTTGCAGACAGCCAATTCTCTCACACCAGAAGCGATTTGCAGTTTCTCAAGTCACTCCTGACATGGAAAAAAATTGAGGGTGGCCTATTCTGTTTTATCACACAAGGAAATTTTGGACTAACTGTCCCCACATCAAAGATGGCTCTGTGCTGCGGAGATGAAGTTTTACATGGTCTTTCTCCTTCTCTGCCAGAGTGCTGGGGCCTCCTCAAACTGCAAACTCTAGGATCCCACAGCATGGAGCCCTGGCAGTCCAAGTGGTGCCAAAGTGCATTCATTCCACAATGTGGATGCAACCTAAGCCTCTCCCACTGAGGGTCGGCCAGATAGGTCTATGGTGAAGGGAGGGGGGAGGCTATGGAGGGAGGGATGAGGCTATAGTTGCCCTTTTCTCCTCCCCTGTCGGCCCTCCTGCCCCCCCCCCTCCCCTCCCCTCCCACCCGCCTGTCAATCATCGCCCAGCTTACCTGCCTGCACACCAACCCCGCCAGAAGCTTCACCTCCCGCAGGGTCCCATGAGGCGCGGTGAGTCCACCTATTTCTCTCTCTCTTCCTCCAAACTCAGCGCCAAAGCCTCCTCCAAAAAAGTTCCTGGAGGAAGAAGGCAAAGTTTCCTCCCAATCCGCTGACTTTCGTTCCTTGGTGGAGTTGCGCAGCCTAAGCGCCTCTCCTCTCACTTTCTGGAGCCCTGTGGGAGGAGGAGGAGGAAGGGGAGGAGGAAGAAGCGCCTCCTTTCCTCCCTCCCTCCCTCCCTCCTTCCTTCTTTCCCTCCCGCAAGGGCTCAACTTCGCAGCAAGCAAGCAAGAGGACGGACAGACGGACGGAGGCGGCTCCTGCACCCGGCGCGCCTCTTCCTCCTCCTCCTCCTCTGGAGTCTGCCTTTGTTTGTTAGGAAGGGAGGGGAGGAAGGGGCTCCGGGCCAGCCAGCTTTGGCGACTCTTTGGCCCCAGGCTCTGCCTCTTCTGTCCCGCAAAGCCAAAGGAGAAGGCGGCGCTGACAAGGCACCCAGGTGGTTGCGCGCGCCCACACCCCTCTCCTTCCTCCTCCCCTTGAGGCGCGTTCCCGCCTTCTCAGCAAACTTTCTGCTTCGCTGGGAAGTTTGCTCCCGGAGTCGCGTGCACGAGCATCCGCGCGCGCGCGCTCACCGAACTCAGCCCTTCGTCCCCTCCCTCCAGGGAGGCTCGCGGCGTGGCAGAGAGTGTCACGTGACCTGCCGGCCTGTCAATCAGCCCCAGAAACTAGGTTTTTCTTTTTCTTTTTTCTGTTTTTGTAATTTTCTTTTCCTCCCAGCTGAAGGCTGTCCGTCCCGCCTCCTCCCCGTCGGAGAGGCAGAAAAGAAGTAATACAGTTTGAACTGGGTTGCTGTTGAGTTTTCCGGGCTGTATGGCCATGTCCCAGAAGCATTCTCTCCAGACGTTTCGCCCACATCTATGACAGGCATCCTCAGAGGTGGTGAGGTCTTTTGGAAACTAGGCAAGTGAGGTTTATATATCTCTGGAATGTCCAGAGTGGGTGAAAGTTCATTTAAATACTGGTAGCCGGATTTTATTCATTTTCATCCACAAACGTGGACAATTTCAACAGAAAGGGGGAAAAAAACAGGAAAATGAACAAAATATGGCTACTAGTATTTACAAACTCTAAAATCAGGACACTAAATAAAGAACAACACTCACAAAACAGACAGGAAGCAGCCAAATCTTGAAGCTGCAAGGCCATTCAGTGATAATCAAGGTGATCTATTGCAATATTCACACTTGCCTTGAGCAGACAAGAGTTCTTTCTCCCACCCTGGACACTTCACAGATATATAAACCCCACTTGCTTTGTTTCCAACAAACCTCACAACCTCTGAGGATGCCTGCCATAGATGTCGGTGAAACGTCAGGAGAGAATGCTTCTGGTATATGGCCATACAGTCTGGAAGATTCACAACAACCCAGTGACTCCAGCCATGAAAGCCTTTGACAACACAGTTTGAACTGCCATGGCTCAAGGCTATGGAGTCCTGGAATTTGGAGTCTGGTGAGGCTTTGGTGGCAGAGACAGTGAAAAGCTTGTAAAACTACAACTCCCAGTATTGCACAGCATTGAACCCTGGCAGTTAAAGTGGTTGTCAAACTGCATTAATACTGTAGATCAGGAAGGGGCAAACTTTGGCCCTCCGGGTGTTTTGGACTTCAAGTCCCACAATTCCTATTAGCCAAGTTAAAGTCCAAAACACCCGGAGGGCCAAAGTTTCCCCATGCCTGCTGTAGATGATCCCTGTGACCCAAACCACCTCATGAACTTTGTGGCAGAATTGAGAAATTGCATGGAGAGCTCTCTGGCTACTACATCACACCACATGTAATTTTTCATCAGGTGTGGATGGGATGCGGATATGTACAAAAGAGGAACCAACCTTGACCTAATGTGGCTCAGAGTCTTGAGGCTCTGGAACACTGCTTCTTAAGTTTTGGGTCCTGACCCCAAAGTGAGTCCCATTCCAGCTGGTGTTGGGAGTTGAGTGGGCTTCAAGAAGGGTTTTAGAATGGAAATCAATGAACAGGTCTGTTTTTCAGGCATGTTATGCATGCAAATCACAACTGGCTCTCCATGTGTTATTGGTTTTAATGTTTACAGATTTGATCATTATGGATTTGATTGAAACATTTGTTCTAGAAATATCTAGGTCCTCCAGTGCAATTCTGTAGCCAACTTCTGCTATACTGTAGCATATAAAGATTTCCAGAGAGGTGTTCTGTCAGGTTTTTTAAAGTGTGTTTTAATTTGCATTTTTTTCACTTGTGCAGTGACTCTGCATTTCTACCTGCAAGTAGAGGGTAGAAATGCAGAAAGTGATAACATGTGCCACCTCTGCACATGTTATCAAAAACCAGACCCCAAAAGACGAAACCAAGAATCCATGTCTCCATAGGAACCAACAGGGTGTCTGTGGTGACCCTTTCCCTAGTTTCAGGCAACCCTTCAATGAACTCACCTAAATGTTGCTTAAGCACTATGTGCACACCACACACACCTCAGCGAATGTCCAAACATTTAGTTATCACAATCCTTTCACAATGCCCTGAGAGAGACAGGACACAGAACAGGCTTAGGATAAGCCATAGGGCTTTTCTAGACATTGTCTGATTTTGTTCCTAGGAATGTTTCCTCATCCCAGTCCCTGGAATGGACCCCTTCCCTGGGGTCTCAAGACTTCTGTGCCAATAGCCTGGACACTACTTTGTGTACCTGGCTGCCACCCATTTTCCTGGTAGAAACAGAACCATTTCAGCCTATCATCTTTAGCCCAGCCACATTCCTTTCTACTTGCACCTTTGCCCTGAGATCAATAAACAGGCTCAAACCTTCAAAAAACCCCAATGATAGTTTATTACATTTCCCACATCTGAAGCCAATCAGCTATGATAATGGATGGAGCTCTTGGACCTATCAGGAGGTGGATTTAGCTGGCAGCATTTTGCATCAATCAACAGCCAGCATGCTAGAGTCTCTGTTTTGAATAGCTGTCAAAGTGTTATAAAAAATTCTATATGTTTGCAGTTGCACTTATGTCACTTTTTGGGGTGCTGCTGACTCTACTGACATCCTCTTTGGCCAAGGAGAATTAAGCCTCTGATCTTTGCCTTCATCCATCTGTGTCTCATTCAATCCTTTGGAAACTTCACATGCCAAATCTTTGGTCCTTGCAATAGCTGAAATCCCACAACACACAGAAGCCAGGTTACAAACCTTGTACTAGAAGCAGAATGCTGGTGGTGGAAGAGGAGAGGTACTAGAAGTACAATAAAATGCAATTTATTGCACTAGAAGCATCTTCGGTTTATTAGACGGTTTAAGTGTCAGAGTGCCATCAAAAAATGGAAATGGTTGAAAAGTGGAACTCAAACATTCATGTATATGTATCCCAAAACCCAATACCCAAAATACCCACTGCATATGATACATATTATATTACTGTGTATGCTATACGTGCGTGTCACTGTATAAGCACAAATATAAGCCCTGTATGAATGCTGTATTATAAGCACAAATATTGTACAGTATTTATTTATTTAAAACATTTATATTCCGCCCAATGCCAGAACATAAATAAATTATACTCATACATAGGCATTAAAATAATTTATCTGGCATTAAAATCCACGGTATAAAACCGTCTCAATCACCCATATTGAATCTAGTCGGCATGGTAAGGTTTCCTATTGCTGTTTTATTGCACTGTACCAAAAGCTTGGTCCCACAGCCAAGTTTTTACCATCCTTCTGAAGATCTAATCTCACCAGGAAGGGAGTGCCATAGCCAAGGGGCAATCTCTGGGAAGGCCCTCTCTCTTGTCCCCGCCAATCGTGCCTGTGACAGTGGCAAGACAGTATTATATTAGATGCACTGCCCACGATTTCTAAGGGTCCTTCCAGTCAGGCCCTATATCCCAGGATCTGATCTCAGGTTTTCTGTTTATTCCAGATTATCTGGTAATGCGGACTCATATAATCCAATTTAAAGCAGAAAACCTGGGATGAGATCCTGGGATATAGGGCCTGTCTGGAAGGGATCTAAGATGAATATAATCAACTTTGCAAATAAAAAAAATCCTCAAAAGTCAAACCTGTAAATGTGGAAGACTTACTGTGTTTTTCAAATGTAATTCAAACACGTCACAATGAAATATTTTTTAAAAATTAAAAAATGTTTATAGACAGTATATGAACAATGGACCTAATTATTCCTGCCTATTTTCTCTTTGCACACTATTTTAGACAATAGCAATCTATCCTTATTTAAAATTAAAATAAAATACAGAACTAAACAGAAAGGTAATACAGTACTGTTTCATTCATATTGAGAGAGTAGTTTACAAACAGAAGCATTAATCCCTTAAACAATCATTAATTGGAAGTGGGAGGATGATTTTTTACTGAACTGTTAAATTTAAAAGATACCCTAATAGAAAACTCCTCAGCTTATGCTTAGGAATATAGGAAGCTACACTGCAGGTTATATAAATCACCATTCATCCATCTAGTTTGGTATGGCCTGTGCACGGAGTCTAAGCAGTTCTCCAGGTACTTTTCCCAGTTCTACCAGACACTGAACCTTGGATCTTCTGAATACAAAGCGTTTTGTGCTCTTGCAGACTGATTCAAGACTTCCTAAGAAATCTTTGAATAGATGGGTGAAGATCAGCCAGCACAGAATAAATGTATTAATTGTTGTTAACTACCATGAAGTATGATTAGGTGTATGGTGATCCTACAAGTGAGAACCCGGTTAATAACCCCGCTTGAGTCTTGCAATTTAGGGCCATGGATTTCTTTATTGAGTCTATCCTCCTTCAAGGTTGTTTTCCTCTTTTCTTACTCTACTACTTTATTCCTTATGTGTTTATGTGTTTTAAAGTTGCCTGTTAACCTATGGCCACCCCATGGATTTCATAGGGATTTCTTAGGCAAGGGATACTCATAGATGGTTTGGTCAGTTCCAGCCCTTGAAATATAACCAACAGCACCTAGTATTCATTGCCAGGCTCCCATATAAGTACTGACCAGTACTAACCATAAGTATTAACCAGGACTGGCCCTGCTTAGCTTCCGAGATCAGGCCAGATCTGCCACTTTTAGGTTATTTAGCACTATTAGAGCAGCTCCCTGCCTCCTGACCTTCAGAAGGAAAGTGGAAACCTGGCTCTGGGGTCAAGCCTTTGGAGATTAATCTATAGTGCAAATAATAGTCTCAAAATATGTGCAATTGATCTTTAAAACGGCCCATATTACACTGAGGATGGCATGATTTTAATAATGAATGCAATGTTTTATATGTTTTAATGTGCGTTTAATTTTAATTTTAATTTTTAACATAAGTATATTCTGTTTGTTGTCCAAAGGCATTGAATAGTTGCCATATGTAAAACTGCCTTGAGTCCCCTCTGGGGTAGAGAAAGGCGGGATAGAAATAGAGTAAATAAGTAAATAATACTCCATACTTCAGGAAATAAAGCCCAACTGCTCATTGGAGGGAAGGATAGTAGAGGCC